TGGTTGAGAGACCGCTGCAGCAGGCAGCTGAGTCACGGAGACAGAGCAGCATGCGTGCACGTCATAAGAACATTTGACCAGTTGTTGATATTTAAATTGTCATTATGGAGACACCTATTTCCATCCCTTTTTCCATAAAACATATTAACACACTAGAACTGAAATACAGTGAGGGAAAAAGGTATTTGATCCCCTGCTGATTTTGTACGTTTGCCCACTGACAAAGACATGATCAGTCTATAATTTTAATGGTAGGTTTATTTGAACAGTGAGAGACAGAATAACAACAAAAAAATCCAGAAAAATGCATGTCAAAAATGTTATAAATTGATTTGCATTTTAATGAGGGAAATAAGTGTTTGACCCCTCTGCAAAACATGACTTAGTACTTGGTGGCAAAACCCTTGTTGGCAATCACAGAGGTCAGACGTTTCTTGTAGTTGGCCACCAGGTTTGCACACATCTCAGGAGGGATTTTGTCCCACTCCTCTTTGCAGATCTTCTCCAAGTCATTAAGGTTTTGAGCCTGACGTTTGGCAACTCGAACCTTCAGCTCCCTCCACAGATTTTCTATGGGAATAAGGTCTGGAGACTGGCTAGGCCACTCCAGGACCTTAATGTGCTTCTTCTTGAGCCACTCCTTTTTTGCCTTGGCCGTGTGTTTTGGGTCATTGTCCTGCTGGAATACCCATCCACAACCCATTTTTAATGCCCTGGCTGAGAGAAGGAGGTTCTCACCCAAGATTTGACGGTACATGGCCCCGTCCATCGTCCCTTTGATGCGGTGAAGTTGTCCTGTCCCCTTATCAGAAAAACACCCCCAAAGCATAATGTTTCCACCTCCATGTTTGACGGTGGGGATGATGTTCTTGGGGTCATAGGCAGCATTCCTCCTCCTCCAAACACGGCGAGTTGAGTTGATGCCAAAGAGCTCGATTTTGGTCTCATCTGACCACAACACTTTCACACAGTTCTCCTCTGAATCATTCAGATGTTCATTGGCAAACTTCAGACGGGCCTGTATATGTACTTTCTTGAGCAGGTTGACCTTGTGGGCGCTGCAGGATTTCAGTCCTTCACAGCGTAGTGTGTTACCAATTGTTTTCTTGGTGACTATGGTCCCAGCTGCCTTGAGATCATTGACAAGATCCTCCCGTGTAGTTCTGGGCTGATTCCTCACCGTTCTCATGATCATTGCAACTCCACAAGGTGAGATCTTGCATGGAGCCCCAGGCCAAGGGAGATTGACAGTTCTTTTGTGTTTCTTCCATTTACGAATAATCGCACCAACTGTTGTCACCTTCTCACCAAGCTGCTTGGCGATTGTCTTGAAGCCCATTCCAGCCTTGTGTAGGTCTACAATCTTGTCCCTGACATCCTTGGAGAGCTCTTTGGTCTTGGTGGAGAGTTTGGAATCTGATTGATTGATTGCTTCTGTGGACAGGTGTCTTTTATACAGGTAGCAAGCTGAGATTAGGAGCACTCCCTTTAACAGTGTGCTCCTAATCTCAGCTCGTTACCTGTATAAAAGACACCTGGGAGCCAGAAATCTTTCTGATTGAGAGGGGGCAAATACTTATTTCCCTCATTAAAATGCAAGTCAATTAATATTTTTTTTTACATGCGTTTTTCTGGATTCTTTTGTTGTTATTCTGTCTCTCACTGTTCAAATAAACCTACCATTAAAATTATAGACTGATCATTTCTTTGTCAGTGGGCAAACGTACAAAATCAGCAGAGGATCAAATATTTTTTTCCCTCACTGTAATGGCGACAAAGCACTGGAAAACAACGTTAGGTGCACTAGAGCGCTTTTTTCTTCTAAATTGTTTGAAAGCCATGGGATATCAGACCGTGTACCACGGGTTTGACCCCAAAAATATTTGTACTGTTCTAAATATGTTGGCAACCAGTTTATAATAGCAATAAGGCACCTCAGGGGTTTGTGGTATATGGCCAATATACAACGGCTAAGGGCTGTGTCCAAAGAACAGCCCTTAGTCCCCTGTAGCTCAGTTGGTAGAGCATGGCGCTTGCAACGCCAGGGTTGTGGGTTCGTTTCCCACGGGGGGCCAGTATGAAAATGTATGCACTCACTTACTGTAAGTCGCTCTGGATAAGAGCGTCTGCTAAATGACTAAAAATGTAAAAAATATATATGCCACACCTCCTTGGGCCTTATTGCTTAACCATAGCAGTCAAAACAAGTTAAATCGACATCCATTGATGTGAAATGATCTGGCGAGTTTAATAAGGGCAAATTGTTTTTTCTCTTGCAACATATTCTTAAGTTCACAATTATTATTATTTTGATGGAAAACCGAATTTAGCTTCTTAGCCTACGTCATTACAAATTACGCCGATATTCCTTCTTAATTCGCTCGATAACATTATAGAAAAGGGGTTTATTGGATAAATGTGGGCTAGTTTTCAGGCCTTTTGGCCAGGTCTTGAGGGGTCATTGGGCTAGAAATTTTTTCTTATGGAAAACTGTATCAAGCAAAGGGTTTTACACATGCTCAGTTCTTGGGTCTCGAGCGCTGCGCGAGTGGAAATTTGAAATGGAAGTTATGGAACTCCCTTGGGTGCTTCTGTTCTGGGAAAAAGTCCACAATGAAACTGACATTAAATGTGGAGAATGATACATTTGCATCTGTTGGCCATCAAGTAGGCTATTCATTTCTATGCCATTGTAGGCTATTGTAGCCTACCATTTGATACAATAAATATGTTGAAATGCCGATATTACTGGAGTAATTGCAAATCAATGGGCGCCACTTGTATAGCCTACCTAGAACTAGCAAACAGATTTAATAAATAGCCTATAACTTCAGTTTGTTGTTGTAGCCTTGTGTTATTATGCACTTATTAATGGCCATGTTTAGTTAGGCTAATTAAATTGGAAGTTATCAATTGTGATCATGGTCACAGCTCTATCGCAAATGTATCATTCTCCACATTTAATTTCATTGTGGACTTTCTATGAAATGAGATGGCCTATCAGGGGCTATAGGCTACCTGCATCTAGCTCAGCAAACCATGGCAAAGTTGAATTCCAATTATAAACCCAGATTTTAGTCAGTAGCATATGCCTATTGAAATAACAAGTCAATCTCGCAAATAGGCCATTTATAACGTTTTGTAGTCTTAACATCTGGCACATAATAACAGCACAATTGCCAGAAAATAGCCTAACATTAGTTTTTTGAAATTCGTCCAAGTGTTTCTTGCACAGAGATTTCTAGATCCTCTGTCCAACTTTCCTCACTCAAACTCTCCTGTCGGATTTATCTATAGTTATGCACATGCGCAAAAGGGAATCCTGATTGTTTGAAAGCCATGGGATATCAGACCCTGTACCACGGGTATGACCCCAAAAATATTTCTACTGTTCTAATTATGTTGGCAACCAGTTTATAATAGCAATAAGGCACCTCAGGGGTTTGTGGTATATGGCCAATATACCACGGCTAAGGGCTGTGTCCAAAGAACAGCCCTTAGTCGTGGTATATTGGCTATATACCACACCTCCTTGGGCCTTATTGCTTAACCATAGCAGTCAAAACAAGTTAAATCGACATCCATTGATGTGAAATGATCTGGCGAGTTTAATAAGGGCGAATTATCTTTTCTCTTGCGACATATTCTTAAACTCACAATAATTACTATTTTGATGGACAACCGAATTTAGCTTCTTAGCCTACGTCGTTACAAATTACGCCAATATTCCTTCTTAATTTGCTCGATAACATTATAGAAAAGGGGTTTATTGGATAAATGTGGGCTAGTTTTCAGGCCTTTTGGCCAGGTTTTGAGGGGTCATTGGGCTAGAAATTTTAGCTTGACCTGGCAATCCTGGACTGACCCCATCCTTCACCTTTGACCTTATCTGACTGACTCAACCTCCCAGTTTTTGTAGGGAAGGCTGACCCTTGACCTTTTACGTAATAACTTATTGAGCTTGTCCTTACAGCTTGCACCGTATCTAGGCTGTTGGTAATATGTCTCATTTTCCCTCTCTGGTGGAAATCCTCATGCATCGTTCTAATGCCTCAATTTATTTTACTGTTATCTGTGCTATGTAACACAAACTAACAACACTTGTTATACAAGGAAACTAGTTTTACTGATTCTTTGTAGCATGTCACCTAGAGGGCAAATAGGTGTAATTAACTTTTCTTATTATACTGGAAAATTATTGTAGCTGGAAAAATTCCTCCAGCAATTAATGTAATTAATTAAATTAAGTTCGCTGCACAGAAAAAATATGTAATTGCTTGGCTTTGGGGGAAATGCTCCTAAGCATGATAACTGAAACCATTTGAGTGCATTTATATTAACGGAACCGGCTGGATTCCTCTCCTGACAACCTCCTGTGGCTGTTTTCCATCTAAATGACTGTCATGGGGATACAAGCATTATTACGCAGTCAAATCTAACATCTCACTTGTTCTTATTCTAGTCTCAAGATCCGCTTTCACTCTCATTGAGGCAGATTACAACCTTGAAATGTAAAGAAATATATTTTTCCAGTTATTTTATAGCTTCTTCTTCTTTCTGATTCTTTAGAAACACACTTTCCTTAGTCATTTTAGTCTCAGCCATTTTAGTCTCAGCCATTTTAGTCTTAGCCGTGAAGTTCTTTTAATTAGCAAAGAAGCTGGGATTTATTCAGGTGGAATGTAGAGGAGGTGGAGTCTAAATATGGCGCTTCAGGGTTTGATTACAGCCTGAAATAGCCTGAATATTCTTGTACGGTTACGCCTCAGATACAGAAATACAACCTTAAAGCTGGATGCACATTTTGGTTTTTTAAACTATTTGAACATATATTGTAATATAATGTTCAAATCACCCTAGACTTGCCGATGATGATGATGATGATCATGCCGAGGATGATGAACAGTAAATCACTTTTGGGAAAGTGACGTGATGGATGGCATTGTACAACTTTCTGTGATGACTTCACTCTTTCACCTACTTCCCCTTAGCTCCCCCAGGCTCTCCGTTTGGCCGGGCCAGCGTGAAGAGCAGTAAGCTGGACAGCTCGTCCTACTTCCGCCGCAAGGAGAGGAGAATGCGTTTCTTCATCCGTCGCATGGTCAAAGCCCAGAGCTTCTACTGGACAGTCCTTTGTCTGGTGGGGCTCAACACACTGTGTGTGGCCATCGTCCACTACGACCAGCCTGAGTGGCTCACCACCGCCCTGTGTAAGTCACACACACGTGTATGTGCATGTAGGCAGTAGGCACACACACACAAAAGCATGCACACACGCACGCACGCATGCACACACACATACACACACACAGACGCAAAGACATGCACACACGCATGCACAGACACACATACTTACATTCACAATCAAATGGATGATTATCGGTAGGTGACGAATTAAATCAATAATGGTCCTTCATGTGTTCTCCATCCCTCTGGAACCCCAGACCTGGCAGAGTTTGTGTTCCTGGGTCTGTTCCTGTCTGAGATGAGCTTGAAGATGTATGGCCTGGGAGCCAGAAACTACTTCCATTCCTCTTTCAACTGCTTCGACTTTGGTGTAAGTCAGCATAAATGCCTTTGGAATACCTTGAAGAGCTAATTATTATCTATTTCAAATGCTAACTTAACCTGACTTACATGGCCACTGGATCCATTTTTTATATGATAATTAAATGTTGAATTGATTCAATGACAGTGACAGTGATTTGCTGTCCGAGTAGCAAGTAGTAGCTACTTTGTTACAGTAGTTCTTTCCCCCTTTCTCCTCTTTTCTCCTCTCCCCCTCTACTCCTTTCTCCTCTCCTCCTTTCTCCTCTTTTCTCCTTTCCTCCTCTCCTCTTTTCTCCTCTCCCCGTCTCCCCCTTTCTCCTCTCCTCCTCTCCTCCTTTCTCCTCTTTTCTCCTCTCCTCCTCTCCACAGGTGATAATAGGGAGTATACTTGAGGTGGTGTGGTCTATGATCAAACCAGGGGCATCCTATGGCATTAGTGTACTGAGGGCTCTTCGTCTGCTAAGGTTATTCAAATTTACCAAGTGAGTGAACACACATTTGAGTCCACACATAGGCCTACACACGCTTGCGCTCACTTTGTGTACACTCATACAGGATATCAACATACATTCAGAATCAACAATGAGCAGATATTTTTCCTCAGAGCGATGTCTGGCATTGTCTCACTCTGTCAGTGTATAATCCTATTAACCTTTTACTTCAGTGGGCTAAATCAGGGTCACACAGAGTGTTTCTTGGTAGACTTAAACAAATGAAACTACTTTGAAACAAAAGTATACACCTCACACACGGTTATGGGCTTAAAAAACAGAAGACACCTGTAACATGTCAGATATAGAGTTTAAATGTATTCAATTTAGAGTTTGAATCCCAATATGACACTTTATATACATCACAGAAGACCGAAATATCACAAAATCGTTTGACATAGAAACACTGGATTTTCAGCATAAAAAAAGTAATGTTTATTAATTAATAACATTCCACCCATGAGGCCACAAGGTCATTTGACTGCAGGAAAGGGCTACAGTTATATATCAATCATTTTATACTCACTAGATTAATAATCCTGTGATTCACAACAATATAGTGGGATATTTTGTTCTCTTTACCAACCTCCTGTCCTCTCTATATTCTCCCTGTCCATTCACTATCACGCACTCTCTCTCTCTCTCTCTCTCTCTCTCTCTCTCTCTCTCTCTCTCTCTCTCTCTCTCTCTCTCTCTCTCTCTCTCTCTCTCTCTCTCTCTCTCTCTCTCTCTCTCTCTCTCTCTCACTCTTCTTTCTTCTTTCTCTTCCTCCTTTCTCTTCTCTCTGTTTTCCCCAGGTACTGGAACTCCCTGAGGAACCTGGTGGTGTCTCTGCTCAACTCCATGAAGTCCATTATCAGCTTGCTCTTCCTCCTCTTCCTCTTCATTGTGGTCTTTGCTCTGCTGGGCATGCAGCTCTTTGGAGGACAGTGAGTATTCCCTCCACTCTCCTCCATGGAACCTGACCCTTGGCCCCTAACTTTCCACCCCTGACTCCTCTCTGGTCATGTTTACTAATATCCCTCCATGACACACACGCACATACACACACACACATACACACACACACACACACACACACACACACACACACACACACACACACACACACACACACACACACACACACACACACAGACACACACACAGACACACACTCCCCTTATCTCTAACCGTCCCCTAGTCCCTCCCCCTCTCTCTCTAATCCCTGGCCTAGCAGTGCAGAGGTGGCAGACACATTGCCACAGCAGGTACCAGCGCAGCGGTGTATCTTTGATACCAGGCTGTGTAAAACCCCATGTCTTCGGCTGACAATGACACCTCCTGATCTGTGCTATGCTGTATTAATCAAAGGCCTGGCTCCAACCCAGCTCTGCCTGACAACAGCCACAAACACACCATCTGGTAGGACAGTTTATCATTTAGACCAGAGGCCAGTCAAAACTCCTTCCTAATTTTTCTGTCTGGCTTACACAGTGTTTACATTGTCATTAGTTTTTTACCTCAGCGGCCAATGCTGTTGTGTCTCTCTTGAGTCAAAGTGAGCTACCTTACCCGTTATATTGTTTCCATTGTAGCAGGTAAGAGGTTAGAGCACTCAAGGGAAACTACAGTGTAATATCTCACCTATCTCCTACAGTGACAGCATTGACGGATGCTGCATTCCCATTGGGCTGTTTGGAGGGAGAAAGAGATAGGGTTCCCATGGTGCCATGATCAATTTAAACTGGGCAGTTCCGTCGTAATGGCCACGTCAGTCTGGGCTGATGGATATGTGTGAAAACGCTCCGACGTGCACATGGTGCTCAGCGGTTGGGCCTCGTGTATCTTGTGATATGAGTCTGGATCCATTGTTCTTTTCCTATGTAATCCACCTGTGTCCTGACTCCATGTAAAAACTCTTGGAAGACAGAGACAATGCATAAATAGACTTCGATTTATGGTTGTGACCATGGTGATTCCAATATTGTTTGTTTAAATCTGTCAAAAGTAAAAAACTTGTAAAGACATGAATAAGAAATGTAGAGACATGAATAAGGGTATCCTTATGGTATAGCTGACCCCGCTCATTCCTGATTAATTTAAGATTTTAGACAAATCTGACTTAGTTGACCAAATCTCTGGACACATTTCTTAGGAATCACAGATTTGAGAATATTCTTTAAGATGCGTACGATCACATATTTGTGATCATTGTTGAGTTGTCCCTGCAGCGTACCATCGCAAATATGTGATTGGAACAGTAGCAACAGAACGTATGATGCAACAAACACGTCTAAACAGCATTGTTGTCTGAGAAGCATCTAAACAATGTTTTGTACATTTATTCCTCAATTTCACCTTTTATTGTAAAAGATAAATGTGAACTTCATCATCCAAGCATCACACGGAACACATCCACAGCCAAACTCATTCCATAAACCAGTCTAAATAACAGGTTGCGCTGAAAAAAACAAAACATAAGTTAGCAACCTAACACCTAGACTTGTTTACAATGTACCACATCTCTGGTGAGCACAAGGGAGAAATGTAATATTGTTTAGAAAATAGATGCGTGTCAGCTAAGCTAACAGTAGCTAAATTATTTATGTTGGCAGCCATGTTTGTTTATGTTTGACAAGCAAAATGTCCCTAATCCCAGAATGCCATTCACTATAAGTAAATAAAGTCAAAGATGGCTGCGCACAATACAAATACATACCTACTGCTTTGCCTAACCGTAGCACGAAAGCTAAACAGGGTTGCCAGATATAGATAAAACTATTTTAGGGGGGTTTGTTGGGGAGTTCATTTCATTTGTGAGGGGGTTTCAAGTCTATGGGGGTAGAAATGGGTGAAGGTATTGTGGGGGGATATGATGCAGCAAATATTACTATAATGGGGGATTTATCAATAAATGGGGGCCAAACACAGGAGAAGTTTATAAGCTAAATAAAAATGAAACCCCCTCAAAATGGGGGTCTGAGCTGGCAACCCTGAGGTACCATAGTTACAATCTGATGCCGCGTTCAAAACAACTGGGAATTCGAAACTGGGAACTCGGAAATCTCTGACTTCCGACTTCAGTGCGTTCAAGACAACTGGGAACTCTGAAAAAAACTAGCTCCGACTGGGAAAGATTGTCATCCAACAGGGAATTCCAACTCGGGAACTTGGGCCTCTTTCTAGAGCTCCGACTGACAGACACTTACGTGACAACCAGAATGCATTGTATGATGTCAACAAACATGGCGACACACATAGCTGGCAATTAGCTTACCATTAGCTCATCATAATCAGTACAACTGTCACGCGACGTGTATGCGGTTAGCGAAGTCAAAAGCAGGACACAGAGCGGCTGGCAACGTGTTTTACTGAACACAGTAAAATCAACGTACAAAACAACAAACCTCCAAACAGGGAGGAAAAGACCTGTACATACAAGAACTGCCGGAATGACAACAAACAATAACACACAAAATAACTAATGAGAGACAGGGGTAAATATAGGGAATACAATCCAACATAATGGGAAACAGGTGTAAACAATAAAGACCAAACAAGACAAACACCGAAACATCGATCGGCAGCAGCTTGTACTCCGGGGACGACGAACGCCGAAGCCTGCCCGAGCAAGGAGGAGGAGCAGCCTCGGCTAAATCCGTGACAGTATCCCCCCCTTGACGCGCGGCCCCAGCCGTGCGCCGACCCCGGCCTCGGGGACGGCCAGGAGGACGCGGAGCAGGGCGAGTCGTATGACTCCGGTGGAAATCCCTCAACAGGGAGGGATCTAGGATGTCCCTCCTAGGGACCCAGCACTGTTCCTCCGGACCGTACCCCTCCCACTCCGCAGACCCCCTATCCGACGCCTCGAATCCACGATGGAACGGACTGAGTACGCCGGAGCCCCCTCGATGTCTAGTGGGGATGGAGGAGCCTCTCGTATCTCATTCTCCTGGAGTGGACCAGCTACCACCGGCCTGAGGAGAGACACATGGAACGAGGGGTTCATGCGGTAATTAATGGGCAGTTGTAATCTATAACAAGCCAATGCCTCCACACCTTCAGGGCTTGGACCACCGCTAGCAGCTCCCTGTCCCCCACGTCATAATTGCGTTCCGCCGGACTGAGCTTCTTAGAATAGAAAGCACAGGGGCGGAGTTTTGGAGGCGTGCCCGAACGCTGAGACAGTATAGCACCGATCCCCGCCTCGGACGCATCCACCTCAACTTGGAACGCCAAAGAGGGATCCGGATGTGCCAGCACCGGAGCCGAGGTGAATAGGTCCTTCAGATGTCTAAACGCCCTGTCCGCCTCAGCCGACCACTGCAAACGCACCGGGCCCCCCCCTTAGCAGGGAGGTGATGGGAGCTGCTACCTTTCCAAAACCCCGGATAAACCTCCGGTAGTAATTGGCAAGACCCAAAAACCGCTGCACCTCCTTCACCGTGGTGGGAGTCTGCCAATTACGCACGGCTGAAACGAGGTCAATCTCCATCTCCACCCCTGACGCGGACAACCGATGTCCCAGGAAGGAGATGGACTCCTGGAAGAACAGAAATTTCTCCGCCTTCACATACAGGTCATACTCCAACAGTCTACCCAGCACCCGACGCACCAGGGACACATGCTCGGCTCGTATAGCGGAGTATATTAGAATCTCATCAATATACACCACTACACCCTGTCCATGCAAATCCCGGAAAATCTCGTCCACAAATGATTGGAAGACTGAAGGAGCATTCATTAAACCGTATGGCATGACGAGGTACTCATAGTGACCCGAGGTGGTACTGAATGCTGTCTTCCATTCATCTCCCTCCCTAATGCGCACCAGGTTGTACGCGCTCCTGAGATCCAATTTTGTGAAGAATCGCGCCCTGTGTAATGACTCTGTCATACTAGCAATCAGAGGGAGAGGATAGCTGTATTTGATTGTCATCTGATTGAGACCACGGCGTAAACCCCCATCCTTCTTCTTCACAAAAAAGAAACTCGAGGACGCAGGGGAAGTGGACGGCCGTATGTAGCCCTGTCTCAGAGATTCGGTGACGTATGTCTCCATAGCTGCCGTCTCCTCCTGAGACAGAGGATACACATGACTACGAGGAAGCGCAGCGCCTACCTGGAGGTCTATCGCACAATCCCCCTGTCGATGAGGTGGTAATTGAGTCGCCTTCTTTTTACAGAAGGCGAGTGCCAAATCGGCATACTCAGGAGGAATGTGCATGGTGGGAATTTGGTTCGGACTTTCCACCGTCGTTGCCCCTACGGAAACACCTACACTCCGCCCGACACACTGATCAGACCATCCCTTGAGAGCCCTCTGTTGCCATGAAATGTTGGGGTCATGAGATGTTAACCAGGGAAGCTCCAACACCACAGGAAACGCAGGAGAGTCAATCAAATACAACTGTATAATCTCCTCATGGCCCTCCTGCGTCTTCATCTTAAGTGGCGCTGTGACCTCCCTAATCAATCCCGACCCCAAAGGGCGGCTATCTAGGGCATGGATGGGGAAGGGCACATCAACTGGTACAATAGGAATCCCTAACTTATACGTGAACTGGCGATCAATAAGATTCCCAGCTGCGCCTGAATCTACTAGCGCCTTATGCTGGGAGTGAAAAGAAACCTCGGGAAACACAACTTTAATACACATACGTACAACAGAGAGCTCTGGGTGAGTTGGGTGCTTACTCACCTGGAATGACTCATCAGTGCGCTGCCTACTGCCTCGATTCCTAGGAGACCCTCCCCAGCACCGAACCGCAGTGTGTCCTCTGCGGCCACAGTTGGTGCAGGGGACGGCCTCTCTCCTGGTCTCTCTCCTCGTCTCCCTAGCACCAGCACCCCCGAGCTCCATAGGGCTCGGCTCGGAAGTGCTGGGGGATGGAATGGACGGCCCCGACTCCTGACGTCCGCGGGTAGCCAACAGGGTATCTAGG